ACCATTCATCACCAGCCTATTCAGACAGTGAGGGATATATACAGACAGACAGACAGACAGACAGACAGACAGACAGACAGACAGACAGACAGACAGACAGACAGACAGACAGACAGACAGACAAATATATCTCTACCCACAATACGACCACTCACCACGGGCCTGTTGAGACAGTGAGGCCCAATGACGTTGTAAGCCACCTCGGACATGATGAGCGGCTCGTAGACCAGGTCGGGGGACAACAGCGCGGCGAGTGCACTCTGTCCGGCCCGCTTGACCTCTGAGAACCTGGTGATGACCTCTTGTCGTACCTGGAGTGTCGCATGGAGGTTGGCCAGGTGAGTTGGTGGGTGAGTGGGTGGTGGAAGGGAGGAAGGGGGGGGGCATTGATTAGGTAAACGACTAAATAAGATACACGTATATTCTTTTACCTGATATTTAATATTAGGCATTTATAGTATAGTCTGTCAATCTCAGTCCAGGAACGCATGCATTAAGTAACTGGAGACATCATCATCATCATCTTCATCATCACCATCACCACCACCACCATCACCATCATCATTATCATCATCATCATCATCATCATCATCATCATCATCATCATCATCACCATCATCATCATCATCATCATCATCATCATCATCATATCTGAGAACCTTGTGATGACTTCTTGTTGTACCAGACGTATCGCATGGAGATTAATCGGGTGAGTGGGTGGGGCTGGGGGGTGTTCATTTTGTAAACGATTAGGTATATATATATACATACATATATATTCTTTTATTTCATTTTTAATATTATAGTATAGCCGGTCAATTTCAGTCCAGGTACGAATGCATTAAGTAACTGTAGTATTCACCATCATCATCATCATCATCATCATCATCATCATCATCATCATCATCATCATCATCATCATCATCATTAACGTGACCACCACATGATCTTAAAAACTCAGAACGGCCAAAAATGTCAGATAGAACTTTGTAATTCTAAAGTAGCGAAATATAGAAAAAATACAAGGGGGTGTGGTAAGTGGTCCTTGGTACCCCGGCCGTCTTGAACAGACGACCGTCTGAGCAGATTTGACGGTGCTTGTTTCAGGAGCGGACGACCCAAGTCAAATCTACAACGGGATCGCCAGGTGTCAGGGGTAAAATTTTCTTCACCACAGACGTTGGTGAGTGAGTTTAGACGAGTGTTGAACCTAAACCACCGGGAATGGGTGGTTGGTGGGTGCTCCTATGTGGCTTGCTCTTTCTTTTCTATCAAACATCTATCATCCTTATCTCCTTTTCTGCTTTTTTCTTGTGTTCGATACTCTCTTGAAACACCTCTAATCTTCGGCATTTATATAATAATAGATACTATTTGCGTAGCGCAAATTCCCGCTCTACAACAAGCTCTATACATGCATGCACTTTACAATGTATATCATTACCCAGGCAGACCTGGTAGCATTCTGAAACATTCTCAACTTCCTGAGAAGCATACTACTGAGGAAGTTGCCATTTTAAAGGCGCTATAATACTTCTATGACCGCATTGTGTTGCAAGTGACTTAAAACTCTTAGTAAAACTCTTAGTAAAACTAAAACTCTTACTAAACTCTTACTAAAACTAAAACTGTTACTAAAACTGTTACTAAAATTAAAATTCTTACTAAAACTAAAATTCTTACTAAAACTCTCAATAAAACTCATATTAAAACTCTTATTAAAACTCTTACTAAAACTAAAACCAGGGGGCTCTCGTGGCCTAGAGGTTAAGGTGTTCGCCTCTCATTCAAAGGTCCCGGGTTCGAATCCGGGTAGCGACGGGAAACATTTTCTTATCTAAAAATGTCCCCTTCCACCTCCTTTACCGTTCTCCAGCAATGTACTGTCGTCTGCTTTCGTCTCCACTTTCTGCTCCCACCCCTCACCTCATTTGCACCCTCCTCTGGGCTCCTGACTCTTTCTGCAGCCTTTCTACTGCTTCTCCTTGGCTCCTTCTTCCTGCTGTCTTTCAGCCACATCCCTGATCTTCTGGTAGGAAAGATCTACACCTAGCCTTTTCGGACAAGGGCGAAAAATCCCGGAGGTTCCATGTACAAGTTGTGCACGCTTAAGATCCTTGGTGGTCTAAAATCGATTAGAGTAGGCTTCGGCCGCCACCCGGACAAAATTCAAAATCTCCGACCAACTGAAAATGTTTGGTGTCCTACGCGCTCATACGACCTTATGCAGTTGCGAGCGCCGTAAAACACTTACCAAAAAAAAAAGAAATAAAATAAAATAAAATAAAATAAAATAAAACTAAAAGCAAAACCAAAACCCATAAGAAGTTTCACCTGATCGTTGCCCGGGTCCCCCATGCGGTAGGCAGGCAGCGCGGCGAGATGACGCACGGGGTAGATGGACTCGAGGAACACCTGGCGGAACTTTTCCTTCACAAACTCTTCGTCGCGCTGAGGAGGTAGGATACAATAGTAAGCCAGGGTGGGATTGGGGGGG